AAAGGGTAAAATGGTCCATTACAGACCGAAAATCTCTCACACGTGTCCACATGACACAACCTTTATTTATAAGCCTAAAGAGGCCACCAACCTAACTAAAATGGGACTATTAAGCCTTCGGCCGTCCCTCTACATGCTGTACAAGGCATGAACATACCAAAAGACACGGACATACATAAGCATTACATCAAACATCTTGTTTAGAAGTTTGTCCGTGACAATGCGGCAAGCATAAACTATCCAATATGCACTTATGCTTCTGTATTGGCACACACCGATGTGTCTGGTGAACTGTTTCATAGCTATGTATCCGACCAGCATAACCAACATTACAACTTAAGTATGAGAAAATGATTTTACTCGAGGTTTTTAATTTCATTTCATACTGGCATACTAAGCGGTACGCCCTTCTTTTAAGAAGAAACCATCCTCGCCTGCTCTGCATGCGAGATGGTTTCTTCTTAAAAGAGAAAGAAACCATCCTCGCCCGCGCCGCATGCGAGATGGTTTCTTCTTAAAAGACGAAGAAACCATCCGGTGGAGTGGGCAAGGATGCAACAAGTTGCCTCTGTCCACAGCTCAAAGTCATCCCCTGCAAGGCACTTCGTAATGCTCCCGTGGCAGCCGTATTTGGGGGGGATCCAGCCCAGGGCGAGCTCATCTCCCGCTCCCCCGCCGCTATCGCCCTTAGCGAATGTGAGGAACAAGACTAAGATGATGGCGAGAGCGAGAAGGGGAAGCAGCAGTCTAACTTGGGCCAGAATCCCTTCCTTCGTCGTCGACCGTGACCTCCCCGACCACAGCATCCACGATCCCTTCATCCCGTACCACGTTTCGCTCGATGGAGCAAGGACCCACCCCTACAGTGTACTGCCCGACGAAGTGAGGACTCTCCCCCTATCGTGTTCTGCCCGATGGAGCGCTTCTTCGTGTCCCACCACGTCCAACTCTCTTCTCCATCATGCCTTCTCCATCCAACGAGCGTTGCAGCCTCGTCTTCCTTGTCGTCCTCATCTTATCCGCCAGCTGACACTGCTTGGTAGCGGGTGGCCTGTATGCCGGTCAGCCGGCGGACTGGTACGTACCGGCCATCCTAGGCGGTACAATTCGAGATTCAAATCCTTGATTTTACTTACCTAGTTTCTTGGCTCCAATGTTATGAGAAATTATTTAATCTTTGGAATGGTTTTGGACAATGCAACTGAAGACTAGCTCAAACCTTTCTTTTTGAAATTTTTTTTGTGCCCTTAACCTTGAGCAGCATCTAACAAAGACTTTTTTTTTTAGTTGCTTTCTTTCATGATGAAGAAAGCTACCAATGAATATCTCATGCCTACCTCAACTAGCTGCTTGTCTTGTATAAAAGATGCCTCTTTGTTGTTTTAATGAATGTTAATATGCATTTAACTGCAAGATGCATTTACTATGTCATATTTTAATTTTCATATTCGATAACTACAGTCTGACTTGGCCTATTCTTTCACAGATATATTCACCCCATTTGGACACTGCCCCACCAAGATGGGTTCACCTTGCACATGGATTGCTTCTCTTCTTATATCAGGTTTGTTCAAAGACCTAGTAGATTTAGAAAATAATCCATTGCTATGTAAAAGAAAGAAATGGAACAGGGATGAAAAGAAAATGATCATGCAGATGAATCTTGAATTATGTTTTTGTCCTTAGGAGGAGGGGGGAAATGAAGAAGAAAGAAGAGGAGGGGGGGGGGGGTGGTGGGAAGGGATTGTTTTTGGGGTTTGAGGGAGAGAGAGAGAGAGAGATGTAAAATTGAAAACCTGGCATGTCGTTAGCTTTGATTAAAAACAAACTTGTATTGCAAAATATGTTTGATGGTGCAGCTTTTGTTAAGTAGGATCTATTTCCAATTTACTAATACTAAATGTTTTAATGTTGTCATGCCCAGACTTTTGATGCAGTGGATGGTAAACAAGCAAGGCGGACCAATTCCTCTAGTCCATTGGGAGAACTTTTTGATCATGGTAAATCTCTTCCCATTAGTAGTTACCTTACCATCTGATGTTATATCGCTATATCTTGATCTCTTAAATTTTTTATCATTGCAGGTTGTGATGCTCTGACATGTGCTGTATGTCATTTTTCTTGTCTTCTCCTGTTGATTAATGTTTTGGATGTTTCACTTATGACCTTGTCTCTCTTTCTCATATCAGTTTGAAGCCTTAGCTTTTGGGAGCACTGGCATGTGTGGAAGAGCTACTTTCTGGTTCTGGGTAATTGCAGCTGTCCCATTTTATTTTGCAACATGGGAACAGTATGTTCTTCTCCTTAAACAACATTATACTACATTCATTCTGATAGATGAAACTTTACTGTTGTTTTTTGTTCATTTTGCTCTGTAATTTTTTCATTTGATTTGGCCGATGTGTTTAACATAATGTGCTACCATTCATTGTTGGCTATATCTAATCTTTGTCATCTTGTACTATGTGGTCATTTTTTGACCTACTTTGATCTTTGCTTAGGTAATGCTTGGCAACTTTGGTTATTGCATGCATTATCTCTTATTTGATGAATGGAAATATGATAATGTTTCATAAATTGCAACGTGGCACAGTATCCATACCCAGATGGTTAGTAGGACAACATGGTGCAATTGAGTAGAAGAGTGCCCATCTGTTAGTCAATAGCTTAGGCCTACGACACCTAATGCTTGTGGTATATGTAAATTTCTTTATGTCAGTACAATTGCATTTGGATGCTTTTCTTTTTTTGCTAATAAACTGGATTCTGTGCAGTGCCTATTACAAGAGGCATTTACAATGACAATGATCTTCTGCAGTTCCTAGAATTGGCATAAATCATACACAAGCTTTTTATTAGTTCCATCACGAGCTGTTAGAAATGTATGATTTAGCATGCTGTTTGTGCACCTTTTTAGGAAAAAGGGAAAATAAAAAGAAGTGTACTTATTAGTTATTACCAAGAATCGTAATTTTGTACTGTATCGGAGTTTCGAGCGTAGCTTGGTATGATACGGTACACTAGGGTGTACCGCTCAATATTTATATGTATATGTATATATATATATGTATATATATATATATTTATATATGTATGTATACATGTATGTATGTATGTATATATGTACGTATACATGTATATATATGTATATATATATATATATATATAAATATACATATACATATATATATATACATATATATATATATACATACATATATATACATATATATACATATACATACATATATATACATATACATACATATATATATATACATACATACATATACATACATATATATACATATATATACATATATGTTAAAAAAGAGGGGCGACGTTGCCTCATTTTTCTGCTCGCATGGGGAGAAGAAATCCAGGTTTCCTTCTCTTCGCGCAAAAAAGGGTGACGAGGCGACGTCACCACCTCGTTGCCTTGGTTCTTCTCCCCGCGATGTCGTTGAGGCTTCTTCTCCTCGCGCGGATGAGGAGAAGTCGCCGACGACGTTGAGACCTCGTCGCCTTAGACGAGGAGGAGGCGATATCTCATCTGCGGTGTCCGACGAGGGAGGGTGGTGATGGATCGGGATCGTCGAGAGAGAGCAGCGTCGGATCTCCAAGTTCTCCCTTCTCTTCTCCCTCTTCTTCTCCCTCTTCTTTCTTCTCCCTTAGCTCTCCCTTAGCTAATACCACCCGGTAGTGGGCGGCAATGGTCGCCGATCGATTTAGGGTGGTGACGGGGTGGAAGTAGCCCCAATCGACGGTACTGTCTGATAGCGGGTGGTCCACGTACCGGCCTGTTGGCGGACCGGTACGTATCGCCTGGTACGGGTTGTATTATTCGAAATTAAAATCCTTGCTTATTACAATTACAACTGTTGGTGGGTCTCAGCTGGATAGTTTTAAGAAGGATTGAGAAGGTGTAGATATAGGTCTTTGTGTACATGTGATGTGACGAAGGAAAAGATGCCACAAACCTTTCTTTGCTCTCAGCTTCCTCTTGCTCCCTCATCTTCCTTTCTTTTTGTATATATTTCCTGTTAATCTTTGAATCAGGGTTTACTGTTATGCTGCTGTAGTTGATGCTGGAAACAACCTAGGAGCATCATTCTTTAGTTCTTAGATCTGATCGATATCATTCTGTAGAATGGTATTATTTGATTGGTTGGAGGTTATAGAGGTTTTAGGAGTCTGAAAAAATTGAAGGGCTATATCCACAATTCATGACTTTGAAAGTGCATAGACACTACAATCGAAGCTTGCATGTCTCTATAAAGACCCAATATGTAAGGAGTTACAGACAACTTTTTTTGGTTTCCTTTTCACCTAAGGATGAGGTTGTCTCATGCCAGACAAATCACAATGGTAAGTAATTGTCTGTTGATACTGTTGACCTTAGGTCTGATATTCAGTATTATGGTGGCATTTTCTTCTCTTTGTTCTTTATTGGCGAACTAGTTGGCGAACTAGTTGTTGCCTTGAGTTCTGTATGTGATCCTTCTTCTTAGAGTTCTATTTGCATATAATGAAACACATTTGTCTTTGATACAGCTTCTTTACAAATACACTTATTCTTCCAATAATTAATGGACCTACAGAGGGACTCATGTTGATATACGTTGCCCATTGGCTTACCTTCTTTTGGGGTATGTGGATTTAAAGCTTATTTTGTACTGTAATTTAAACTGAAGAATTAATTTGTCCTCCATTTTTTTGGTTTTTGTGTGATGGCCAACTGCTATTTAAGAAATCGGATCTCCATGTTTCTAAAATGTTTTCTTCTTTTAGGTGCTGAGTGGTGGGCACAGGACTTCAGGAAATCAATCCCTCTCGTGGGTTGGATGCCAGTTGCTCATGGTAAGTTTTGAATAAGTTATTGATATCATCTTTTGGGTTTTAGTAAATTACCTTGCGATTAACCATTGGTCGGGGTGATTGGATCACTTTCATAACTCCATTACATCACTTTTTTTTTCATCAGTTGTGATTAAATGGTAATATTATTTCATCCATGGACTTCATTTGCTTAGTGACTAATCAGTCTTCATAAATCTGCTGTTCTCTTAAGAATTTCTTGTGACTATTGTTAGCCAAACATTGGATAACTCTTTTATGTTATATTACTTATGTTTCTGTATCCTTGTATTGAATCTACAATGAGTTCCTAGTATACCATTTTTTTGTAGCCACTGTTTCATAAAAGTATTAAAATAGAATTTCTATTATGTGTCATTGATGATCATTTCCTTGGAAAAAATTCTAATCCTTGGTACATTATAAGTAGGTGATAAGTTTATTTTCCCTATGTGCTTAGTGTTGTTGTAGAGCATATATGAGAGAGAGTATGAATTTAGGATTTTAGTACAAAGGACAACTATCGTTGAGACAAGCAAAATTTCATGTTAGCAAAGAGTTGATTGGATTAGAATGTACCAATGACATGTTGATTGTATCATCAAAGTATCATTGAGACATGCTGACAGATAAAGAGTTGATTGTATCATTGAGAGTTGATTGAGACAAGCAAAATTTCCTTGTCTCAATGATAGTTGTCTCAATGACATGTTGATTATAATACATTGTTATATTTATCTGGGAAGCCACATGTCAACATGTACAATCCTTAAAGGATATTTGACTGTGAACTCTATCAGGTTTATAAAAGATTGGATTAGTTTTTTGAACTACAGATTAATGAGAGACTTGCATACAATTATGTTTAAATATCTTTGAAGTTAAAACATTTGACGTGGATATTATCTTTAAGGTGCCTTGATGAGCAGGTACCTAGAAACGGTTCAAGCATAAAAATGATACTTTGATGAAGCTTTTAGATCTTGACAGTGCGACAGAAACATGAATGTGAATTTTATACACTTATGACTTTGTTTGAACTTTGGAATTTAAGTTTAGTTCGTCACACATGATTTATGGACTTCAACTTGTTATGGCCAACATGAAAAGTGGTACATTGTTTATTGCGATTGCCACTTCAGAAAAAAGTTTCGGCTTATGAACTGTATATGCACGTGAAATGTGTCTTTGTGTTGTAGAATATACCTTCTATTTCAAATTGAAGAAACCCTCTTGAATAGGGACTAAAGAACATGAGCATTTGGAGAGGTTGTACAAACTGGATCCGGAAGAACTGTTAGGAATGGTTCCTTTTACTAACACTCTTTCTAGTTCAAGGAAGAGAAGAAACATTCAAAGTTATGAACTAACAAGTAACAATTAAGTTCTACTAATTGAACTAAATTTTTGCATAAAAGAGGAGAAGACAATCCAGTAGCATGCCCTCTTGGTGTTATGTGGCACATATACGGACTACCATTTACTAGTGGAGCTAAGTTGTATCTATGGGCTGCCCCCGCCGCCGCCCCCCCTGCCCCCCCTACACCTTTTTTTTTTTTTTTTTTTTTCTGTTTAGGAATCCTTTTCAGAGCCAAATACCAATCTTCTCCCTTCCAAATCCATTGTCATTACTGCCTGAACTATCTATAAGCTGTAAACATGCATCGTGAAGTATCCAATCCCATTTCAGGCCTTATACAGGACAAGTCCAGCCTGTAAGGTAACAGCTGAACTGCTGTGGCAGCCCAATGAGAGCCAAAAGATCTTGGCTGGTCTGGTCTAGGCTTGAGTTGGATTGAGGTTGAGCCCTGTCCACTCCATAATAAACTGTATGGTTGGGTACTCAGATTTTGTTCCATTTAATTTTCTGGCCGCTCTTAGTTAGATATGAGCTTGTATAGTAGGAAATGGGAGACTCATATCGAGGAGCTTTTCAGGTGATATTTGATGTAAAATAAGTTCTGGATCCAGAGTTGTACTGTGATGATTTGGTTTTCAGTTGAACTGAAGGTCAGCTTGCAATACTATCATACTGTATATGGATGCAACAATCAGATTGCACGATTTAAGTTTGACTTGGATAAAAAGACAGGAGTTCCTTAGGCGACTTTTCAACTGGTGTTTCCTATGATCTCTACAACAACCTTTGAAAATAATATGATGTATAGTAAAAAATGGATCTCCTAGCAACATGGAGAATTGTTGCAATCCATATTCCAGCTATTGGCCATCAATGTTATCCTACTTATTATCCTTATCTCACTAGAATTGTAAGAGCCCCTCAATTAGAACAATAAAGACTTCAGAGATGTCTTTTAGTACTAATTGATTTTTTATCAGAAGCAAAGAACATTGTCTCCATATCTTCAGCAATTGTTGTATCATGAAGCCCAAGAACAATTTTATATAGCTTTTTTTTCTCAATTTGATTTTCCAATGCCCAAGGATTTACTTTTATTTATTGGTTCCTTATTGATCATTAGAGAGACTAGTACGGCGCCTCAATCTAGTTTGGCAATATTGTGGTATACGGAAAAAGCAATGCAACCAAAGCTAAGAAAAAAGGGAAAGAAAAGATTTGGATTGAGGTTGAGCCCTGTCCACTCCATAATAAAAACTGTATTGTTGGGTACTCAGATTTTGTTCCATTTAATTTGCTGGTCGCTCTTAGTTAGATATGAGCTTGTATAGTAGGAAATGGGAGACTCATATCGAGGAGCTTTTCGGGTGATATTTGATGTAAAATAAGTTCTGGATCCAGAGTTGTACTGTGATGATTTGGTTTTCAGTTGAACTGAAGGTCAGCTTGCAGTACTATCATAATGTACACAGATCAGTGATTTAAAAAGCGCTAGGCGCTAAAAGGCGCCAAGGTCCAAAAACGCCCGAGGCGCTAAGCGCTCGCCCGAGCGAAGCGAGACGCAAAAATATAAAAATATATAATATAATTAATAAATATAATTATTTAAAATTTTAAATTAAAATATGCTATTAAATTAAGAAAACCTATTAACAGTATTGAAAATTATTAATTTCAAATAAACCTAACAATATTAATAGTATACAGTATACTGTTAACAGTATACTGTATACTGTTAACAAAAGGAGAAGAAGGAAGTGTAAAGGGGTGCTGAGCTTGCTGACCGAGAAAAGAGGAAGTGGCAGCGGTAGCGGAGTGTAAGGAGGCAACGGTGACAGCGGCGAGCAGCGGGAGGCGCGAGTGGCGACAGCGGCAGCATTTGCGAGCAGCGACAGCAGCGGGAGCGGGAGCAGGAGCGGCGAGCAGCGGGAGGCGCGAGCGGCGACAGAGGCAGCGTTTGTGAGCAGCGACAGCGGCGAGCAGCGGGAGAAGGAGCGGCGATCGGCGACAGAGGTAGTGTTTGTGAGCAGCGACAGCGGCGAGCAACGAGATCGGGATCGGGAGCGGCAGCGGCGAGGGTTAGGGTTGGGTTCTCACTTATATCGATTTTAGTTGGTTCGATTGAACCAACTAACCATCAGAGACCGAACCAGGACTGAACCAGACTTAAAATCCTGGTTCGGTCGCCTTGGTTAACCCAGGCACTCACTCGAAGCGCCCAGCGCCTGGGCTCGGGCGAGCGCCCAGGCGGCGCCTGTTTGAAGCGCGCCGCCTAGGAGATTAGCGAGGCGCTCGGGCCTCGCCTCGCCTCGCTCGAGCGCCTTTTTAAATCACTGACACAGATGCAACAATCAGATTGCAGGATTTAAGTTTGACTTGGATAAAAAGACAGGAGTTCCTTAGGCGACTTTTCAACTGGTGTTTCCTATGATCTCTACAACAACCATTGAAAATAATATGATGTATAGTAAAAATGGATCTCCAAGTGACATGGAGAATTGTTGCAATCCATATTCCAGATATTGACCTTCAATGTTATCCTACTTATTATCCTTATCTCACTAGAATTGTAAGAACCCCTCAATTAGAACAATAAAGACTTCAGAGATGTCTTTTAGTACTAATTGATTTTTTATCAGAAGCGAAGAGCATTATGTCTCCATATCTTCTGCAATTGTTGTATCATGAAGCCCAAGAACAATTTTATATAGCTTTTTTTTCTCAATTTGATTTTCCAATGCCCAAGGATTTACTTTTATTTATTGGTTCCTTATTGATCATTAGAGTGACTAGTACGGCGACTCAATCCAGTTTGGCAATATTGTGGTATACGGAAAAAGCAATGCAACCAAAGCTAAGAAAAAAGGGAAAGAAAAGAAATGTCTCAATTGTCTCTGCTAAGATACTAGTGTCTAGTCAGATATCTAGTGTTTGGCCAAAGCATTTATATTTTAACTGACAGATGTGTCCTTGTCTGGGCTTGGACTTGGTAATATCCAGCATCATTGAAATTCCATGAAATATAATTCCTTTTCATTTTCTGATCTAAATATATTGGGCAGTTTCTTTTTCTGTATGTATCTTCACTGCACTGCAACTAATAGTGCTTGGACCAAATCATTTCTAAGAGGGTATACTTTGCACGCAACTTTAGGGACATGTATATTGTATTTATCTTTTTTATTTTGATGGTCCTCCAGTACTTGGATAACTACATGTCTTTTCTCACTTATTACTTAACATTTTAACTGGTTCTGTTTCAGTTCATTGATGATGAATTGCTCATATCTTCATATCCTTATCTATAAATGAACCTTTTTCCTGATTTTTTTTTCAGAGATTCCAACCTATGGAGTTGTGCTGTTTATTTTGATTGTTTTTGGTGTATTCCCAACTATCAGCTCCAAGTAAGCTTCTTTATCATGATTTATGATAATTTTCCAGAAACACATTTTTGGTACTTTTAGTTGTGATTATATTAATTAGTTCTAACCAAAAACAAATGTGCTTTCTCATAACTTATGCTTTCTCAATCTTGCTGTTAAATTTACCATTAAGATAGTTATTGCTCAGTAATTTCTATTAAATTAATAAATTTATGCTTGAAATTTAATTTAGCAGTTTCTTGAGCTCACAAAAGTCCTTGTTGGATCATAGTGAGCAACAGATGCGTAGCTTTCCTGTTGTTAAGGAGTGAAGCAAAATTAAGGAGCATTGGTTGGAATGAAGCAAAATTAAGGAGCATTGGTTGATGAAAATCATTTTTTGCAGATACGTGACATGTCAAGTCAATGCCTGTTGATGGATATGCATGCTTGATTGAGCTTATAAAGATTTTCTGTAATTATCTAGCAAGAGTTAATAACAGTAATTACATCTGATTTTGTTTCTGTCAAATCAGAAAATTATGTTATATTTTTGTTAATTACCCACTAACCCTTTCTTTGATGTTGATGTCCCAAGTTGGGATGATTTAAGTTATTCACACCACATATTCTGGCTTGAATTGTAATGTAAGATTCTTAATTGGTTTTAAAGAGATTCTTGAGTATACACTGGTGATATATCGATTATGTAGCATATCCATTTTAAATATATAGTTACTGAAAAAAAATTCAGCCAACCTATCAACAAATTGTATGGTGGGGCAAGTTGCAGTCTCTTTTGGTAATGGTTGAAATTTTATTGTATGTTATTTCTGCAGCATTAGCAATGTCCGCAAGGTTGTCCAAGCAAGAAAAGGAAGCATGTTGCTCGCGCTAGCAATGGTAATTTCTATTTACAAATTCCACCATCTCACATTATCAAGATTTTTTGATGAACTTATTTGTTCTTGCCAGATATTTCCTTTCGTTGTGCTGATGACTGGAGTTCTTATCTGGTTTGAATACAATGAAACTAACTATTTGGATACTGTTCCACGAGCTGTAATTTTGTAAAATGTTGTTGAGAGAGATCTTTGTCTGTGCAGGTCATACATATCTCCTTCAGATGTTATGTGCAACCATCCACATTTGCTTATAGTTGGAACAGGATTTGCATTTGGTTTTCTTGTGGTAAGATTGCTAACCACTGAACTTGCTAACTGTTGAGCGATCAATCTACTTTAAGAATTTGTGTGTTTGTGCTTGGTGTACTATTTGGTAGCGCTATTGTGAAGCTCAAATCTTAGACATGGTTGGAACCTAGACTGCCTATCTAAGGTTTCATGGCACAGACAAAGGAAACAGCATTTACCTTTCGATCTTGCTTTTGTAATTAAGTTGAATTCTTCTTTTTATGATGATGGTACTACTGTTTGTTTGGATCTTGCTATTTTATACCACAAAGCTACAATTTCTATTTTATACCACAAAGCTACAATTTCTTTGGATCTTGCTTTTGTAATTAAGTTGAATTCTTCTTTTTATGATGATGGTACTACTGTTTGTTAAACCATTCTCCCCCCTTCAACTTGTCTCTTCATTTCCCATTTTGTTATATATAGCATGGGTGGTTATTTTAGTACCACTAGGCTGCTTTGGGCTGAGGGGCATGTGAATACAACATCAAGTTTGCAAGAGCATGTTGCTCGCTGAACGTTGTGCCACCAAACTGAATTCTATCAGACCTAAAATATGGACTTGCAACCTATGTAGCGATTATTGTTTGATGGTCAAGAAAGGTTGATTGGAGCAGGGAAATTTATTCCAAAATGATTGTGCTATTTATATGTGAGGCAGACTGTCGATGTAGATGGTAGTTATCTTATTTGTGGGCATTTATTCTCCTGGAAGATCTAGTTCTTTTGATGGGTAGTCGGTCAGAAGTATCAGTCAAAAGTGAGCTAAGATGATATAAGGTAGAAACGGGAAATTTGAGCTTATTTTAGCAAGCTGAAGAAAGCAGTGATTAAGACCTCAAGATAACTCTTTAGATTACTCAGTTCTGTAGATTGTGCATAGACGAGTGTGCTATCTGTGTGGTAGTTATCTACCAGAAATATATGAAGGCATTGTCTGAGACTTTTTAATAACCATCATATTCATGGGAAGAGTTGGAGCTGAGAATCATGGGAAGAGTTGCAAACGGCAAGAACATATCTGTGGACGAAAACCAGTCCATGCCAATTGATTTACTTCAAATGCTTATTATATCGATACAAATCATCTATTGAATATACAACATGGACCTGTCGTTTACAGTATGACGTGCATTTATTATTGTGCAACCATTTATGTTAATCTTTCATTCATCACAGAATTTGGTGACACTTACTAGGAGATCCTGTTGCATTCATTTTCACAATGGACGACATGTTTTATAATCAAACATCATGACAATGACAGAAATTGGTAATGATAACTATACAATTATAGCATATTAAGGGAGTTGTGATCATGGAGTTGCAATAGTTGAATTTATGAGTAAGACCATTGTGTCATGCAGCATTAACATAATTACCTTTATGGATCTTTAGGGTACTACAGATCCTTGTAATAGAAGAATTTGGATTCTGTAGGCATTGAATGTTCATTGTGTCACTTTTATTTTGTGTTTTATGTTTGGAAAATCTCATTTGTGTAAATGGCTAGTTGCCTATATATGCCATGTCCATAAATAAGTTTGTGATAATCTATTTTACAATTTTTACCTCTTTTTCTTCTAGAAATATGATAGTGTGCTTCCTCTCTTTACTAGAATTATGAAATTATTGACAGGGGAGGATGATTCTTGCTCACCTATGCGATGAACCCAAGGGTTTGAAGACAGGGATGTGCATGGTACACACCTCTCTCTGAAGCTGTGGTTCTGTGCATCTTGTGTTCTTGTTCTCAATTTTTCTATTAAGTACATCATCAATCACATTTCACTCTTAGGATTTCTGAAACCTTAGTGGATAGGATGTTGCCAATACTTATTTGCCTACTCTTATTGATGTGTCATTTGAACATATTCACTGAGAAATCTTTGTTAACAGTCACTACTGTTTCTTCCTCTTGCCATTGCAAATGCTCTCACCGCTAGGCTCAATGATGGGTACGTTTTTGCCTTTACATAAAAAACATGTCTGCGGAAATAAAAAAAATATTCTGCAGTCCAATTCATTTACTTATCGGTTTTTCTCTTTTTCTACAGAGCTCCTCTCATTGATGAATATATCATTCTTCTTGTGTATTGCTTGTTCACAGGTAATTTGTTTTTTCCATCTTGAGATTATCTGTTATGAAGTGACTTTTCTATGTTACTCCTGAAAGCTTGTTTCAACAAATAAAAAACTAAAAATGCCTCTGATTTTGGGTAGTAAAAAAATGTCGTCTCCTTTTCTCAATCCAGCATAATAAAAGAAGGCTTGATATTTCCTTCACATGCTAAAGATCGACTAGCATATTAATTGGAATGTTCTTAGTATTAAGTTATGCCCTTCCATAAGAGCAAGATTGGCTCAAACATTATGAGATTTGTGTTCAACTCTTGCTTTTGAACCCCTTTTTCATATTGGTCTTTTTTTTTGTCCCCTGGTGCTTTTCATCACGAATCTATTTTATTCAAAACAGTGGGGCTTTACTTGCATTTTGCTACATCTGTCATCCATGAGATAACAACTGCTCTGGGCATTTACTGCTTCAGGTTAGGAAACTTTCCTGCTGTTAATGTGCTGACATTTTGTGTCTCAACTGCAAGATTTGAATGTGGTGTGCTGTTTTTGGTTTGACCTACAGGATAACCAGGAAAGAAGCTTGAGAAAGACTTTGACGTGCTGTTCTTAGTGCACGTGTTTATTGTTGATTATTTTTTTACTGAAAGCAGGGCTACCTGACATTCAATCTGTGTGCCATATAAGATGGGTTCCCCACTATTAAATCAGTGCTTGTGGGGAATGCTGTGTAGAAGATAAGCCACGTTAGTTAGATAAGATGAGAAATTGTTGTCATTATTTTGGTCCTCTGTAGGAATTGACTGTAGCTGATCGATTGTTGTATCACTATCAATTTATCCAATTGTGAGAATGCATGTTATACATGAAGGACCACTACAAAAGTTGGAAAGAGGATAATTGACGTATAAATTCCAAAGAAAATGTTTTGGTTGTGAAAAAACTTTATTGAATAAAACCTTCCTATTTCTCTATTTTCTTCCTTGGATCTGCTCACTTTCATATTATCTGACATGTATAAACGAGCAAACCCAATTGATTTCCTGCCACCCTTATTGCTCAGCCATGTCCCTCATTGTTGATTGATTTGATCGGCTCCATGCATCGAGTAAGCCAGGACTAACAAGTCCGGCTTCAGATAACCATTATCGCCCTCAAACTCTTGATATGTTTTACTAGGACAGCCATCGCATCCTTCATCTCCTCGAGAACCCCATTTGCGAAATAAGAAAAAGATGATGATGCTTTTAGATAAATATCGCGGACCTCCAATGCGGATCTTCTTCATAAGCAACATCGGTTCGGTCTTGTCGGATGGTTACGTGTATGAGATGATGATGTATTGCAAAAAGCTATGTTCAAATTTTTTGAAAACTAGGATGGTTTCGTTTGGAGGGAAATCAGGGACTGTGTAGTGATCAATGCAAAGAGGGCAGGGGGTTCTGAGTGACATCATAACTTGTTTCTTTTCCCTCCTTTCCACAAAAAAAGAAAAAGAAAATGCCATCACAACTTTGCACAAAGCGACACTCTTTCAACTTTGAACGCTCTTCTATACATATTATTATTATTATATCCAATGAATAAACTTCGTCCCAAATCACACTCTCCACTGTGCGAGGAAGCCGTCAAAACTCCTCCTGTGAGCCAGCCATGTCTCCCGAGCATCAGCCGTCGCTGCATTAATAGCATCCTCGGAACCACCTCTGCATTAAGAATGGGGCTTTAGCAACCAACTCCCTCGCTGCCCACTGGGCCCCGCCACAGCTCGAAACCAGAAACTCGCAGGACCCAATTAGATCCAAACAAAGATCCCACGTTTCATCTTCCTCCCAAACAGACGCCCGTGAAAGATCCCACGTTCCACAGCACACGTTTCATCTCCTCCCAAGCGACTGGGCTTTCGCTCGTCATGCCCTCGTCCCCGTGCGGTGCCAACCGGGAAGGGGCAGCAAAAAGAAGAGCGTTCCTTGTTACTGTAGCCCCACCACATCTCGCATACGCCCAGAGACCACATGCCCATGCGCTTGCTTCACGCAACACGCACCCGGAAATATTTTTTGTTCTCCTCGCGTCGCGTACTCACTCCTCCTTCACGTGAACGCAGGTGATTACTCCCTCGCTCATCTCGCAGTGCACATTACGACTAATCATCGTAACGCCGCCCCCCTCCCACCCCTTTCACATATCCCAATCCCCTGCCCTCGACAACATTACGTTAACGTTCCATCGCCGAACGAGTGTGTAATCCCAGCAGAGTAGCGGTAGAAGTAGCAAAAGAGCCACCGGGGAGAGTCCAAATTGTGTGAGTAATCCCCCTACCCCCACACCACGTTGGTCCCCCTTCGTCATTGGCATAATTATATTTAAGCCTTTACCAACCATTATATGTAAGCACAACTATAATTTCATGGCATTTAGGTCTTTTTTCCTATTCTTCGTAACCAGCAATTCCAACCAAAAATTAAAATTTAGAGAAATAAGGTGGAAAGGATTCGTAGGGACGATCAAATCTATTTTTTTTCCCTTAGTTGGTCCATCTATATTCCCTTGTCTCCATTTCAATTAAAAAAGCTTTTACGAGCTTATTCTTTTTTTTGTCTGAGCTATAATAGTTTTTCTTCCAGTCGGAGCTTGTTGAGTACGATGAAATGTATATGTACTGGCACAAGTAATCAGGAGTCTTCACAGTATGCTTTGGATCCAAAGTATAGCTGGGTATAACTGAGAGCAGCGCCGTAGCAGGGAAACCCATGTGGATACTGTGGACTCATTATAAAGCAAAGGGAATCAGAAAAGTAAAAGAAGCGCAACTATGTGGGTTGGTGTGTGTGTGTGTGTGTGTGAGAGAGAGAGAGAGAGAGAGAGAGCTGTCGGGTGTTTTCTATGGAAAAAGACGAACTGTGACTGCCGTTTCCCCCTTTTACTTTTTCCCCTCCCCTGCTTCGTTGCTGCATCCAGAGAGAGAGAGAGAGAGAGAGAGAGTGTGCGCGCGCGTCATATATAGAGCTCTTTAGCTCGCCTGCCTTCTTCTTCTTCCATCTCTCTTGCTCTCTGCTTTTGGTGGCAGGCGGAGTAGTTGGGGCGCTCCCAACGAACCAAGGCAGAATCAAGAGACGCGAGAGGGAGGTTTTGGCTTCGCTGGCGCCGCACGATGGTAAGCCTGCCGTCCGACGAGGAGGAAGAGGAGGAGGAGTACGCCTCCGACATACAGAGCGAGCGATGTGAGAGCTATAGCCCCAGCGCTGACGTCAGCGAGTCCGAGTCCTCGGGTCGCGTCGGGCGCGCCGCCGCCGCCGCCGCCGCCGGGGCCTCCAGCTCCTTCTCCTCCTCCCCGCCGCTGGCCCCTGCCAGAGCGGCGCTGTTGCCTGGGGTGCCTCATTTGGTGTTCTGGGAGTCGAAGTTGGAGAAGAGGGAGGCCGATTTCTCTGGTTCGTAACCTATCTCCTCATCCCCAGCAAATGTGCTTAGCTTCGAGATCTGAGAGAAGCTCCCCTAACAGCTCCTCTTGATCAAGATCGATTAACCACATAACCACTTATTTCAGAAGTGGAGATGATGAAGGAAAGATTTGCCAAGCTTCTGCTCGGCGAAGACATGTCCGGCGGCGGCAAAGGGGTCTGCACGGCGCTTGCCATCTCGAATGCGATAACGAATCTTTCCGGTGAGATCCATTTGTGTCATTCGATCTGCAGGTGTTCGTGTGCTATCTCGTTCGATTGCTACAAAACCACTACTGTCTTCAGCTACTGTGTTCGGAGAGCTTTGGAGATTGGAGCCCCTTGCGCCGCAGAAGAAGGCAATGTGGCGCCGGGAGATGGATTGGTTGCTCTGTGTGAGTGATTCCATCGTGGAGCTCATCCCTTCCATCCAAGAGTTCCCTGGCGGCGGGACCTTCGAGGTGATGGTCTCTCGCCCCCGGGCTGACCTCCACATGAACCTCCCCGCTCTCAAGAAGCTGGACGCCATGCTTATCGGAATACTGGATGGGTTCCAAGACACCGAGTTCTGGTATGTGGATCGGGGGATATTGGTCGCCGATGAGGATGGAAGTGGGTCTTGCCCATCTTCCTCATTTGGTAGGCCGTCATTGCGCCAGGAAGAAAAATGGTGGCTACCATGCCCAAGGGTTCCGCCCAAAGGCCTGTCCGAGGATTCAAGGAAGAGGTTGCAGCAATGTAGGGATTGTGTGAATCAGATACTCAAGGCGTCCATGGCAATCAATAGTGGAGTGCTTGCCGAGATGGAGATCCCTGATGCCTATATTGAAACCTTGCCCAAGGTAAAACACATGATGATTTAGCTCACTGATTGATCTAATAAGACACTGAATTTGAATGTGTATAGGATAAAGGACATGAGTAATTCTATATTCTTTAGATGTTGCCAATGACCTATTTCTTCATTATTTTTAGGTCTCATAAAATATTCATGAACATCTAAAGCTTATAAGTAAATGCTCCTCACTAAGATGGTCTTTTAATTTGCACTAATTAATTCTAAATTTTCGTCACCAGATTTAAGTTGAACTCAGTTCATTCTAACTTTTTCTAGGCAGTATTCATATGCTTAATCTAATCTCTGCTTTTTTTTTTTAAAGGACAATATGAACTTAAGCTGACATTATAAAGAACTTTGGGTGGTAGAATATTTTGCCATAAAAGATTTCTTGGATTCTCTTATGACAAGTTGTCTTAGCCATTTTTACACTACTGGTTATATCCAGATATAGGTCTACCTTTGGGGGCAAATAGGTGTCAAACGTCACAAGCATCGATGGATAATAGTTCGTATTGAATGTTGTTAATCAACCTGATACATAGGTCATAAACATTTACTTGTTAAAGGATTGGAGTCAATTAAGTAAGCACATATTTGTATGTGTCATGTTTGTGGTTGCCAGAGCTAATCACAAGTGCCATAGGATTGGATTCAAAAGTAGATGAAGAGCAAGATGGGATCTGAATTGGTATCATTTAGCAGCCCTGTTGGTGTAAACAAATTGTCACTGTCCAAGGAATAATAAAGTGTAAAGTAGAGAGTCGTGGGAAAAGGGATACTGTCAAATGGTATAGTTGTTGAGAATGGCATGGAAGGTTTTTCCTTGGAGAACGATAAGTATAAGTGAAGGTTTGCTCCATATAGAAGATGTTTTAAGCTATCTATATTATGCAATTTGTGACATCATTATTGTTACGTCTCTTGCTGAAATGTGAATCATGAAAAGAAGCACATCATAGTGACTTTAGTCATTAAATGGAAGAAAAGACAACTCATGTGGAATGAAAGAAATGTAGTTGGAAATAATAAATTGTGAGTATTATTGTTGAAGAAAAGATTATGTGGAAGCTGCATACTTGATTAAATCATGATCTTTGAATAAGGGGTCGAATAAAGAGATTACGAGCAGATAGGAAATTTTGATGTTGCTGATAACGATTCAGCCACCCGTTAGGAAATACGAGGCAGAAAACTTGAAATTAGCTTTGCAGAAAGAACCTGATTAAGGAAAGAACAAGAATGACTGCAGTATTCAATGACATGAAGAGGGGAAGAGAGAGAAAGAGGGATCTTGAACTAGGAAGATGAAAAGAAACATATAGAGCAGAAGAAGCACACAAGTTGTATTGATGGCTAACGTGCATGGCATAACCTGTACTTTTGGAAGTAAAAAACTATTGGCAAGTTAGATGCGGCCGATGTCATGTATCTCTTATTGAAATCTTGTTTATAGGAAGTAGACGAATTTTAACTTGTGAGACAAATGTATACATGAAATCTCTTATTGAAATCTCAAGTATTAAATGCCAATACCTAATGTAAAATGTGAAATCAGAAATTATAACGTTAAGTGTGAAAGCTATGGCTATAAAGCCTTACAGATCTTAAATAGTAAGTACAGAAGAATAATGGAAGGCTGCATTAAGGAAAAATGAATGCATAGTGAACTAGTCCTCCATGACATTTTTTTTGATATCCAGAGGGAAACAGAAGCACTACAAAGAATCTGGAAGCAAGGATGGAGAATCTATTGTACTGCTGTTTGTGCAAATAGCTGCCCACTTTATTGCACGAGTGTCTTCTCATGCTTCTTATCTGAAAGACAGCACATGCTTCTCATGGATCAATAAGAAGCCTTCTAATCCCTTATGGTCACCTTATTCGTTAGATAGCATGTTGTCTGACAGAAGTGAAGCTAGTAGGAGTGCTCAGTGATTTTAGTTGTCGGATGTGTGAAGCTCTATGCGGTAGGTTGTTGAATACTTTGGTTCTTGTAACTCAAGAGATAATCGAGCTCTCTGTCACGTGGTCAAAAGAAAGCGAAGTAACACAAGCTTGTGATTTTAATTTCCAACAATTTCAACAGGTAGCCATTTATGGCCCTGTGATCAGGTGTATTCATATGTTATTGAGCCCTTGCTAAGCACCAAACAGTTGGTATATCTGGTGCATCCAGAGAAAGGACCTGGTTTTAGATTAACGAAAATCAACTGGACTTGAGGAATCCTTTTTAGGCTTGTCCAAATTCAATGACCTGATCAAGGAATTAGATTATGACTGAATTACCTGAGTTGGAAACTTCATATTATTGCCTTCCTTTGCTACTCAAATTTCATTGTGGCTCAAAATTATTGTACAAAATAATTCTAGAGAATTCAATAAACAGAAAATAAATTAACCGAGAAGCTGATTTGAAAGATAGCAAACAGAAAGATAAATTAATAGTTGGGCCAATTACTTTTGTGCTGCGGTTAGTCAGAGGCTTGTTGACAATTGGATGTGTGGCTATAAGTAGTATGTAAGGGTTTAGGGAATGGATCCATATGCATGCCTTTTTTACTTGAAGCCATCTGTAATTGGATAGTGTTCTTGTTGAAAAGAATGATGATATTAAAGGACAGCAAGCACTATGATATTAGTGCTACCGTATCATGGCTTACTTGATATCAGGTTAACTATCCAGCTGTTTGTCAGAGTTACAAGTTATGAAGCAGTACTTGTAGTCCTTTTCGTCGACTCGAAGCGCTTGATGAAAAAAGGTCTGCCACTTCACAGTTGTTCTTCAGCTGGTGATGGGTGCTCTATTTAGCAGCTATTTCAATTTGAGATCAACAAACCATAGTCACCCTGTTCTTGTTGTAAACTTGTGGATACTCTTCTGTTCAGCATGCTGACATAATTCTTTTGTTTGATTTGTGTGAGCAGTAGTGTTTGTTGCTTTATTCACATGGTGCTTTGCTGAAGGCATCCTAAGATTGACATTTTTATTGCATTGGTAAAATAGGATTCTGCACTGTTTTCTTCCTGTAGTTTATTAAAATGCACCCATCTTAAAAACATTTGTTGGTCTAAATATTTTGCAAGTGTAACTTTGCTCCTATTGTTACTGTTTGCAGAGTGGAAAATCATGCTTGGGTGAGATAATTTACAACTATATAACAGCTGAACAATTCTCACCAGATTGCCTTTTGGATTGCTTGGACCTGTCATCCGAGCATCACACACTAGAAATAGCAAATAGGATTGAGGCAGCAATTCACGTTTGGAGACTGAAAGGCCAAAGAAGACATTCTCAAGTTAAGGCGAAAACGGCATCTTGGAAAGGAAAAGTGAAGGGTTTTGTTGCTGACACCGAAAGGAGTCAATTTCTAGCAGAACGAGCAGAGGGTTTGTTCCAGAGCTTGAGAATTCGTTTTCCTGGACTCCCCCAGACAGTTGTAGATATGAACAAGATTCAGTACAACAAGGTATTCATTAGTGACCACTTAGAAAGTGATGGCAATAATAATTACAGAGTCATGATGTTTTTGGTTGACCCCTCATTTTGGATGCTTCATTCGCAGATTTTATCGAGAGGATGACAATGTTTTTGTTTATTCTGCACTGCAACATTCTTTGAACAATAAGAGCCAAACATTACACTGAATTTTCTCTTTTGTAGGATGTGGGGCAGTCAATTCTTGAGAGCTATTCCAGAGTTATGGAAAGTTTGGCATTCAATATCATGGCAAGGATCGATGATTTGATCTTTGTGGATGACGCAACAAAAAAATGTGCAGTCGCTGAAGCTGTTTCGATATTCAACCGGGGAGGATCAGGAGGACTTCCAGTTCAGAAAAGGATCTCACCCAGTCCCTTCTCAATTCAGAACACACCTTATGCCTCACCATTTGCAACACCCACCTTTTGCTCTTCAACCCCGGTGATCGGAAGCCCTCGAAGACTGCAAACTTTGGTAAGTAAAAAGAGCACCCAGTGTCCACCACAAGAGGGGAAGATCATCTCTGGTGATCTGGAGAAGGTATGGTCATACACTGGCAACCTGAGCGCCAGAAGAGATGCAGGAGACGCCCCCGAAAGGGACTAACTTCAAAAACAAAAGTCGGACGCCTGAGGAATCTACGACATGAGACTTTTGTTGCCCGGTTGGTGGGTTGAGTTATGTACAGAGATGCAATTGCAGATATCAGGTTTTGTCCCTCTTTTAGTCTTAGCTGAATCTTCTTAGTTTGTAGACTTGTTACTAGTGAAAACTGATGGCTCTTTGGCAAAACATGTGTACGATCTGGTAGGTAGGTAATGAAATCATGCTCAGACAAATCTACCATTAGCAGAAAAGTTTGCCTTTGGTCGACCTGGTATGTGAATTAAAATCAGCTGTTCTCACAAGTAGTACGTACTTGATGAATTCAACCATAACTCGCTCTTATTTTAGATAAGATGTGGTATGTGAATTAAAAACTAAATTTTTTGGACTATGATTAGTACTTACTAAGCAGTGATTTACTCATTATTATTATTATCTTTTAATCTTTTTAAATTATACAGTAAAATATGATGAATTAATTATAAATTAAATTATATACTAATTATTTCGTGAAAATTATTTGTTTTGATTTTGACTTTACATATTTATAGAAAAATCCATAACATTACGACATTATGCTTTCAAATTTTCACTGGGCTGCAAGCGTTACAAAACGAATCGATGGATAATTACAAAGAATTAGATTAAATATTTATCTCTTCAAATGATCCAACCGTTAAAAAGAATAGATTTTTCAGATGGAAACAGGTATCTCTCTCCCCAAGTCTACCTTCTCTCGGATTCGTTTCAGAAAGAATCGGGTGAAACTGAAGTCTCATGCTTTCGAAATTTATGGCCCACAAAGTTGATTTGTGGTGTGGATTTTACTCCAATGTTAACATCCATGTATTTTTCTGGACGCCAATCACATTTCAAAGGACCGATGGATGGAGGAGAGGCATCCATCTACGTGTTTCACATTTCAAAGGACCGATGGATGGAGGAGAGGCATCCAGTTTTAATGGCCTTGTCAACAAGTCAGCACTCACTAATTGCCCTCCTTGCGGTCATGACAGTGCCTTCTCTGAAGCGACTGTTCTCTAACACAGAAAATGAAGCAGCAACACGTGAAACACGGTTCATGTCCACTTCACGGCCTTGTTCTCTCCGCCGTGGATGGTTGAGAATATGAGCGAGAGGAGGAGGTTCGCGCCAGGCTTTATATAACCTCAAGAGCTCTGAACAAGTTGGCCGGGAGTTTAGGAGTAGAAGAAGAGGCTACAACAAATGGAGACTGTGGCCACGCACTCCCTCTGCTGTTACGTGTCATCCTCATCAACATGTTTCACATTTATTTCCCTATCAGTTTTAATGATCATGTCAAGTCAGCACTCAATAAGCGTCCACAATAATGATCATGTCATGTCATGTCAAGTTTTAATGATCATGTCAAGTCAGCACTCAATAAGCGTCCACAATCAGTTTTAATGATCATGTCATGTCAAGTCAGCACTCAATAATGATCATGACAGTGCATTCTTTGAAGCGTCTGTTGTTCTCTAACACAGAAAATGAAGCAGCAACACGTGAAACACGGTTCATGTCCACATCACGGCCTTCTTCTCTCCGCCGCAGATGATTGAGAATATGAGCGAGAGGAGGAGGTTCGCGCCAGGCTTTATATAACCTAAAGAGCTCCGAACAAGTTGGCCGGGAGTTTAGGAGTAGAAGAAGAGACTACAACAAATGGAGACTCTGGCCACGCACTCCCTGCTGCACCTGCACCTCACTAACCCTTTCCTCCTCCTCCTCTCTCTGCTCTTACCTGTCCTCCTCTTGTTCCTGCGACGTCAAAGAACAGCAGCGTCCTCGACGAAGCTCCCATTGCCACCTTCCCCCTCCAGGATTCCCATCCTCGGCAACCTGCACCAGCTGGGTTCCCTTCCTCACCGCACTCTCCGGGCCATGGCGGCCAGGCATGGTCCTATCATGCTCCTCCAGCTGGGGCAAGTCCCCGCGCTGGTGGTGTCCTCCGTCGACATGGCGCGGGAGGTCATGAAGGAGCAAGACCATATCTTCGCCAGCAGGCCTTCTCTGAAGGTGCCCAACATGCTCCTCCGCGACGGCCGGGACGTGGCCTTTGCGCCCTACGGGAACTATTGGAGGCAGGTAAAGAAGGTGAGCCTCCTCCACCTGCTCAGCGCCAAGATGGTCCGGTCGTTCCGGACTGTGAGACGGGAGGAGGTGGCCCGCATGACCGACGAGATATCTCGGTCGAGCTCTTCCGGCCCCGTCGACGTGACAGGGGCCCTGAAATCTCTCGCGAATCATATCATCAGTAGAATTACCTTGGGAAGCTCCTCAAAGCAAGAATCATGGGATAGACACATCGTAGACTTGCTGGGAGAAGCCTCCACGTTGACGGGAGCCTTCCATGCGGGGGACTATTTTCCTTCGCTTCCATGGCTGAGCAGACTCAGCGGTTTGGAGGAGAGGGTGAAGAGAGTGTTGGACGTCATCGACCCAATTCTCGATGAGATCATCGAGAAGCATAGCAGGCGGTCGAGGGAAGACGAACGTGAGACGGACTTCGTCGATATTTTGCTCTCTCTGCAGGAGGACCCCGAGATGAAGCGCTTCATCAGCAACGAGACCATCAAAGCGATAGTCACGGTAATCTTCTCGCCATTAACAGCTGTCGTGTTTCACAGTCAATAACAGCATCGATAGTGTCCATGGTTCGTCTGATATCAACAGGACATGTACGCTGCTGGAACGGACTCCACGCACATCGTCATCGAATGGGCCGTGGCAGAGCTGATCCGGAACCCAGGAACCATGAAGAAGCTGCAAGATGAGGTGAGATCGGTGGCAGGATCTAAGCACACGCTGGAGGAGGACGACTTGGTCAATGGAATGGACTACCTGAGGGCTGTGATAAAGGAATCCATGCGACTCCACCCGCCCGGGACCTTGTTGGTTCCGAGAGAGCTGATAGAGGAGACGACGATCGCAGGCTACAGAATCCCCAAGGGGACAAGAACCTTCGTCAACGTCTGGGCCATCGGAAGGGACCCCAACATATGGGAAGCTCCCGATGACTTCCGCCCCGAGAGGTTCCTCGGGAGCTCCGTGGATTACAGAGGCCAGCATTTCGAGCTTGCTCCGTTTGGCGCGGGGCGGAGGATGTGTCCGGGAATTGGGTTCTCGGTCACGATCATCGAGCTCGCCCTTGCAAATCTCATGCTGCAGTTCGATTGGAAGTTGCCTGACGGCATGAAGAAAGAAGACATGGACATGATCGAAACTTTTGGGGTCACCACACGTATAAAGAGCGGCCTGCGACTTGTTGCGACACCTCGATTCTGATAGGAGTCGGTCGAAGACAAAATATGGCTTCTATATGTTGGAATAAAGATAATAAAAAGAAAACTGTGTTGTAACATGTAGTCAAATTAAATTAAATCATAATAAAATAAAATATCAAGATTTACGTGAAAAATCTCTATATAAGGATAAAAATAATGAGATAAATTAGTAAAAATTTACTATAAGAATAATGAATATATAAATTTTAGAGTTTTTTATTCAAAATTTAAATAATAATCACAAGAAAATAACTGATATATAAGAATTACGTCACTGTACACAATATCAAAAATCTTTTCAAATAATCACAATCAGAATCTACTATAGAACTGATCTAACCTAAGATGAAAACACTACCTAGATAATTGAGAATAGTCTCTCTGTATTTCTTTGTCTTCTTCCCTTTTCTTCTCTTATTTTTTTATTATTTTTTCCCTTTTTGAATCATGTTGCTATTGTAGTTTTCTACCCCTAGTTTTTTGTCTCTTTTTCGTAGCCACCACACCCACCTTATTAGATCTAGGTTTATGATAATAAGGAAAGTGGGCTATGGGCTGTTAAAGCCCACTATGGGCTAAACTCTATCTGCCCAACAAGTTTTCCCATCAGCCCATAAGGTGTTAAGATCAAAGAAAGGGGGGGATGAATTAGTGCTTTCGATAAAAACAACATTAATTCAAAGATTCATTCGATAAAATTTATATCTAAAAAAGCATTTAAACTTGAACGTAAGTGATTGAGGGCAGTGAGCAAATGAATCAGTGAGTGATTAGAATAAAAATCATAAAAGAAATGACACAGACAGAAAGCACACTGAATTTATAGTGGTTCGGTCATCGTGATCTGCATCTACTTTTGATTCCACCTCCGTTAAGGCCACCAGTGTTCACTATGTGGAGAAATCTTGGGGGCGACATCACATGCGCAGCGGAAGAACAAGAAAACAAAATCTCCGATTCCCAAAGAGATGTTCGTCGTCGTGCGAAGATTGGTGCGCAAAATCCGTGAAACTTAAAACTGCGTATAGAGTAGATTGTGTTACCTAGGGAGATCGTATATCCCTGTTTTCTTGCAGATCTTTAGGAGAGGGTGGAGGAGGTCAAGTGTCATCCTCTCTAGCGGTGATCCACACAGTAGGGCTGCGACAACACTCCTCAAAACTCCAGGCCTGCTTTGAGGTGGAGAGGGGGAGGAGAATAGGAGAGGCAAGCAAAGGCTCTAGCCTATGAGACTCTGAATCCCTCCTATTTATAGAGGTCCCATGTCAAACCCTAATGGGTCCTCCCCTAGTGGGTATTGGATCTGCATCCAATAAGACAAGGGCTCCGTCGGATATCTTATATCCGAACCTCTACTCATCGCAATGCCTACCATATGTGTGTGACCCTTTAGGCCCAATATTGAGCTAGCCATGAGTCATACATGTCAGAACTCCTTCTAACTCAGTGAATTATTATCTCTGTAATAATTCACTTGACTCATCGACTACGGACGTACTAGGCCACTACGCCATAGTCTCCAGACGATACAGAGGAATCCAATCCATTGGACCTGTCTATCCTCAGTTACCGTGTACCTATAGTCCCTCATCCATCTAATATCCCAAAGACCGTATATCGAGCATGGTGCTGTCAGTCATATATGGTTTCTACTCGAGTCTCACTCTAATGGATTCTCTCGGAGAACTCTTTCTCTCTCAACCCGAATGACCCTGGCCAGGGATTTTTCTGAGCAAGAACATATGAGATATTCCTCTCATGACGTCGAGAGTGGATGATCCTCTATTGACACTCAATAGCCCTCGTAAGGTCGACTACCACTCCCAATGACCAGCTATACTAGATCTGGGACAGTCAAACCTATAACTCTGGGATGAATTAGTGCTTTCGATAAAAACGACATTAATTCAAAGATTCATTCGATAAAATTTATATCTAAAAAAGCATTTAAACTTGAACATAAGTGATTGAGGGTAGTGAGCAAATAAATCAGTGAGTGATGAGAATGAAAATCATAAAAGAAATGACACAGAAAAAAGCACACTGGATTTATAGTGGTTCGGTCATCGTGACCTACATCTACTTTTGATTCCACCTTTGTTAAGGCCACCAGTGTTCACTATGTTGAGAAATTTTGGGGGCGACATCACATGCGCAGCGGAAGAACAAGAAAACAAAATCCCCGATTCCCAAAGAGATGTTCGTCGTCGTGCGAAGATTGGTGCGCAAAATCCGCGAAACTTAAAACTACGTATAGAGTAGATTGTGTTACCTAGGGAGATCGTATATCCCTATTTCCTTGCAGATCTTTAGGAGAGGGTGAAGGAGGTCAAGCGTCCTCCTCTCTAGCGGTGATCCATACAGCAGGGCTGCGACGACGCTCCTCAAAACTCTAGGCCTACTCTGAGGTAGAGAGGGGGAGGAGAATAGGAGAGGCAAGCAAAGGCTCTAGCCTATGAGGCTCTGAATCCCTCCTATTTATAGAGGTCCCCTGTCAAACCCTAATGGGTCCTCCCCTAGTGGGTATTGGATCTGCATCCAATAAGACAAGGGCTCCGTCGGATATCTTATATCCGAACCTCTACTCATCGCAATGCCTACCATATGTGTGTGACCCTTTAGGCCCAATATTGAGCTGGCCATGAGTCATACATGTCAGAACTCCTTCTAACTCAGTGAATTATTATCTCTGTAATAATTCACTTGACTCATCGACTACGGACGTACTAGGCCACTACGCCATAGTCTCCAGACGATACAGAGGAATCCAATCCATTGGACCTGTCTATCCTCAGTTACCGTGTACCTATAGTCCCTCATCCATCTAATATCCCAAAGACCGTATATCGAGCATGGTGCTGTCAGTCCTATATGGTTTCTACTCGAGTCTCACTCTAATGGATTCTCTCGGAGAACTCTTTCTCTCTCAACCCGAATGACCTTGGCCAGGGATTTTTCTGAACAAGAACATATGAGATATTCCTCTCATGACGTCGAGAGTGGATGATCCTCTATCGACACTCAATAGCCCTCGAAGGTCGACTACCACTCCCAATGACCAACTATACTAGATCTGGGACAGTCAAACCTATAACTCTGGGATGAATTAGTGCTTTCGATAAAAACGACATTAATTCAAAGATTCATTCGATAAAATTTATATCTAAAAAAGCATTTAAACTTGAACATAAGTGATTGAGGGCAGTGAGCAAATAAATCAGTGAGTGATGAGAATAAAAATCATAAAAGAAATGACACAGAAAGAAAGCACACTGGATTTATAGTGGTTCGGTCATCGTGGCCTACATCTACTTTTGATTCCATCTTCGTTAAGGCCACCAGTGTTCACTATGTTGAGAAATCTTGGGGGTGACATCACATGCGCAGCAGAAGAACAAGAAAACAAAATCCCCGATTCCCAAAGAGATGTTCGTCGTCGTGCGAAGATTGGTGCGCAAAATCCGCGAAACTTAAAACTACGTATAGAGTAGATTGTGTTACCTAGGGAGATCGTATATCCCTATTTCCTTGCAGATCTTTAGGAGAGGGTAAAGGTGGTCAAGCGTCCTCCTCTCTAGCGGTGATCCATACAGTAGGGCTGCGACGACGCTCATCAAAACTCTAGGCCTACTCTGAGGTGGAGAGGGGGAGGAGAATAGGAGAGGCAAGCAAAGGCTCTAGCCTATGAGGCTCTGAATCCCTCCTATTTATAGAGGTCCCCTGTCAAACCCTAATGGGTCCTCCCCTAGTGGGTATTGGATCTGCATCCAATAAGACAAGGGCTCCGTCGGATATCTTATATCCGAACCTCTACTCATCGCAATGCCTACCATATGTGTGTGACCCTTTAGGCCCAATATTGAGCTAGTCATGAGTCATACATGTCAAAACTCCTTCTAACTCAGTGAATTATTATCTCTGTAATAATTCACTTGACTCATCGACTACGGACATACTAGGCCACTACGCCGTAGTCCCCAGACGATACAGGGGAATCCAATCCATTGGACCTGTCTATCCTTAGTTACCGTGTACCTATAGTCCCTCATCTATCTAATATCCCAAAGACCGTATATCGAGCATGGTGCTGTCAGACCTATACGGTTTCTACTCGAGTCTCGCTCTAATGGATTCTCCCGGAGAACTCTTTCTCTCTCAACCCGAATGACCCTGGCCAGGGATTTTTCTGAGCAAGAACATATGGGATATTCCTCTCATGACGCCGAGAGTGGATGATCCTCTATCGACACTCAATAGCCCTCGTAAGGTCGACTACCACTCCCAATGACCAGCTGTACTAGATTTGGGACAGTCAAACCTATAACTCTAGTATCAAAGAGTGGAGCACTTATACAGGACATCCTTGGTGTCTCAAGTCTAAGGACCAGATACACCACTAGGACTACGGAATCGCTTTCTGACAATAAGGC